AGGGAGGGCAGAGGACCCTGGGAGCCACAGAGGGCGTCACACGTGGAGGTGTGCGGCAGGCGGACCGGAAAGCAGCTCGGCACTCTCAGTGGGGGGCAGCTGGGGGAAGACAGAGGCAAGCCCCTGGGTCAGCAATTCAGTCACAGGATGGGGGGCAGGCAGACAAAGGGGGCCGCGTGAAGGGCCATGAAATATTAAAGAGCCTAGGCCAGTGAGTGACAGAGGTCACAGAAACCAGGGGACTAGCTAGGGAGTGCCGGGCAACCCTGAGGCAGAAGGCTGCCCCTCTCTGTCACAGTCAGTTTCCTAGCCAGAGTCCCCTGTATTTTCATAGACAGGAGGACAGGCTGCGGGTGGGAGGGGCCGAAGGGATGGGGAGGGGAGGGAGACCTTTGCGGTTCCCTCTTCCCTCAGGCTGATCTGGGCACAGCCGGCCTTCCAGAGCTGCCAGCCACCCTCACAAGAAAGCCAGGAGGCCTGTCAGCACAGCGGCTGCCATGGGCGCCTCCTGGGGAAGGAGGGGTAGGCATCCAGCTTCCCCTTCCCAGAAAAAAATCAGCTAAACCACCACTTTCCAGAGACCAGCAGGGAGGAAAAGCTGCACCTCAGAGCTCAGCTGAGCCAGCAGGTCCCCCAGCCTTCCTGGCCTAACCTGGCCCCATTACCAGCCTCATGACCTTGGCCAGTCCCTGGTCCCTGAGCCTGTGTCTATCTGTCTTTCTTTCAGGTTTTTGTTTTGTTTTGTCTTTTTGAGGCAGGGTCTCGCTATGCAGCCCAGACTGGCCTCGGCCTCCTGAGTGCCAGGATTATAGTCATGCACCACCACGCCCAACCGAGCCTGTGCCTTTACCAGTCCTACCGACCCAAGGCTTGGTGTGAGAAAGGAGGGCGCAACAGTGTGGAAAACGTGCTGGGCCCAAGCAGCCGATCCTCCTGTGTGCTGGTCTTCTAAAGTCACTTCCTATTAGCCCCATTTCACAGACAAGGAAGAGAAACGAGAGGTACATAACGCACTAGAGGTACACATGGTAAGTGCAAGCTAGGAGCACTTTTCCTCCTATTCACTGGGAGATACCAAGTCCTCAGTATAAAACCCAAGTACTTCTCCCTCTTTTCTTCTGAGACAGGGTCTCCTTATGTAGCTCAGACTGGCCTGGAACTTGTGGTCCTCCTGTTTCAGCCTCCTAAGTGCTGGGACTAAGTCATGTGTGAGCATGCCCAGCCAAGCTGTCTTATTAAATTCTGACTGAGGGTAAACCACCCTTGAGCACAGCACTGTGCAACCACGTCTATGTTCATCTGACAATGGCCTTGTGTGGAAGCCATTCTTTTTTTTCTTTTTGAGACACTGTCTTGCTGTGTAGTCCAGGCTGGCCTTGAACTTACTATGTAGCTCAGGCTGGCCTTGAACTCACAGTAATCCTCCTGCCCCAGCCTCCTAGAGTGTTGGGATTATAGACATGCAACACCAGGCCTGGTTGAGGCAAATGTTCTTATTGCCCCATTTCAGAGACAAGTAAACTGAGGTCTACAGATATATTACAGTGCCTGTCTGTTGTAATACAGATGGACAGCGACATGGTCTGTATCTGAGCCAGGTCTAATGGACTCCAAAGCTACTGCTCTTACACGCTAGTCTGAGTGAAGTCAAAGAAGGGGGTTAGGAGAACCCAGCAGAAATGGTCAGACAGTCTGGCTCTTAAAACAGACACCATGAAAAAGGTCAATGATAAGGTCACAACTGCTGTGCTTGCGGGTGCTCAGCAACTGTTTTGGAAGCAGGAGGGGGCAGTGCCTACAGGGGCCCAGGTACGGGAACAGCCTAGGGGCTTGGCTAGGATGATCCGCCCAGTCTACCCAGTGCCCCGAACCAGGTAACACAGACTCCTTCCACCAGCATGGATATGTTAGGGCTGATCCAAAAAGGCCCAGGGGAGGGCTGTCTTGCTGGCCCCCAGAGTTCCAAGCTGGGCTGCAGGGTCAGTGTAGCAGGAGCTAGGCACACACCCCCCCCCAGAGCCCCCAGCACTAGTGGAAGGAGGGTCAGCATCCCCCTCCCTTCCAGTCCCTGCTAGCCCAGAGGGAGGCCAGCATCAGAGGCAGGAAATGAAGAAGAATTTGCGATCTAATTGAGCTGGCGGGGGATTAGGCAGCAGAATGCAATTACAGGGGCTGGAGCTGGGCCAGGGGCACTGACACCCCGAGTTGTGGCCTTGCTCAGGTGACTGGGCCCAGCCAGTCTCTGGCCAGAGACACTTGACTAGGGGAGGGGGTAAGTGATGGGTTAGGGCCTGACTGTTCTCCTCAGCATACAGAGGATGCAGGGGTCCAGGTCCACGTGATACCCAGACACAAGAAGTTTTCATGGGAATTCTCCAGGAGAATAAATGACAGCAACATGGACTCACAGGAGGAACAGGCAGAGAGGCACATGTACTCGCATAGGTTCTGTGCATGCATAGACATACATGTTCATGCTCCCAGGTAAGCCTCTCATAGCCTTGTTCACCTGCAGAGGCTCAGACTTTCCAACCTGCAGACACACAGCTACGGCCCTTTGCTGCCACTGGCTCCAATGAAGTGGGGGAAACATAAAAAACACCCATGACCTTAAAATCCTTTTATTCCTGTAATCACAGGCTGCTATCGCCGTGGATACGCGCTGTCACCCCGGCCCCAGCCTGTCTCCCTCCGAGGCTTCCAAAACTCCCAGCAGGCAGGCAGACAGGGAAGCTGCCCAGTTACTGCTGGGAGGAAAGGGCGGGGGGTGGACCCGGTAGAAGAGGTTTGATCACACACACACACACACACACACACACACACACACACACACACAAAAGAATAAAGGAACAGACCAAGCTTGTAAGGGAAGAGAGACAGTTACCAGGGGGCAACACTGTTCTAGGTACTGAGGACCCAGCAACCAGCAACACACACACACACACACACACACACACACACACACACACACAAGCATGACCTCAAACAACCATGAGGAAAAACAGCAGACAGAGACACAGAAAGAGAAAGGAAAGCAGAGCTTTCAATCACTGAAGACACAGACCAGTACCCACTATAGATAATCCCACACCTATATTCACAATCCAGATATATACCACCCAGGGACTCAAACACTCCCAGCTTTATAAGCATATTCAAAACACACAGAAACATACAAATCATGAATAGAACATACAAATCATGAATACGAACTCTCCAAAATCCTGGGTACATACAACAGACAGCATATGTACATCCCTGGATTCACAGGGATCTACTCAACTTTCAGATACACAGCCTCGGATTCATAAGCATACACCGTACATACACATACAATGCCTTTATACATGCTCCAATTCACAAACCCAAGCATGCCCAGACTCCCGTACTGAGACAGACAGACACATTCAACCCTAGATTCACAAGAACAGACACAGTACACGACTTAGACACACACGCTGTAATCACAAGTACATGAGCAACCAGATTCCTACATCACAGACCAACAGACTAGTGCCACAGAGCCTCATCTGTCAGCTGACACTGCCTCTGGCTTTAGCAGGCAGGTGGAAGGCTGGAGATTCCAGGGACTTTGAAGGGGGCAGTCCTTTCTCTTTGCCAGCAGCCTGGGAGGGTGGGCTCAGCACTGGGGGAGGCAGACAGGGACAGGGAAGTAAGAGAAAGCAGAAAAAAACTTTAGTGGGATATTCTTGTTGGGCAGTAGCGCGTGAGTAACCGGGGAGGCTTTTTGTGGTCTGGTGAGTTCCAGCTATGAGTGAGAGTTTAACTATTAATACACTTAATCAAGGACGCTTCACACACAGATATACAACCACACACACAGGCCTAGGATGGGACCCAGTGGTAGGGGTAAGGGAGGGAAAGGGGGGAGCCCCAATCAGGGCCCCAGGAGGTGGGAAAGGGGAGGAGCTTCTGCCTCAGGCCTGCCTCCAGAGCAGGGGCAGTGCAGTGATTCTGCCATCCCTAGAAAGGTAGGGGCTGATACACAAGGAGATGTGCAATACTTATATATCAGGCCAACGAATGAGCCAATTACATGTACATAGCGGGCCGTACAAATAATAGTAAGTGATGCCCCCCATCCTTGGCCAGTTAAGGCATGCTGCATGGCCCCATGCTTGGGAATTAGTTCTGAATAAATGCTAACCCCAGTACTCGAGGGGCCTAGGAAAGCAGACTAGGTGCCCCCTTTCCTCTACCCCAGGCTGCACCCCTGAAAATCAGCTCAGCCACACCCATATCCCTTTCTCCCCTCCTAGGGTGTGACCCTCATCTCCAATAGGTCCTCCCACGAACAATGAGGCAGTAGGTGGGTTTCTAAAGTAGGTGGTACATTTAATTCCCAGAGACTTAGTTCTTATCCAGATTGCATCCCTGCCCCCACATGCCCGCTGGACTCAGTTTCACATTTGCCAAATGGGTAGAAGGCAGGCAAAGAGCTGGGAATAGGCAGCAAAGTTGAGAATCACACAGTGGGGGCTCTGTGAACATAGCCTTGTGTGGGTCTGGGCCCTGGATGCACAATCTTCTCCTTCCCTTCCCCCACCCAGCCCAGCCCAGCTGGGTGGACATTCCAGGCCTCACGTGATAAAGAGGAGGCCACTGGCCCTCGGGTAAGTCAACAGCCTCTGTCGCTGGAGAGATAGGAGGCCCAGGCCAGGGTCACCTGCTGAGCAGGGAAAACAGTCCGACCCAAACACATACATAAATAAGGCACCAACCGACAGCCAGCCAGCCCAGGGTCTGTCTGTGCTCAAGAAGCTCTGCCCTCACCTTGGAAAAGGAGGTGGCAGGCCAGAGGGAGGCGCAAGGCTGGCTAGGGGCTTCCCTGGGAGAGTCCCAGCTCCTGCCAGGAGGGACGGGAGAGGATCTACCAAGTCCCAGGGCTGACGGAGAACTCAGAGGCCAACCTCTCAGCTGTTCGCACTGCTTCCCAGGGCAAAAATCAAACTGTCACCCCCCTCTCCCTCCTCTCCTAGGAGAAAGCACAATTTCCGTTGGGGGGGGTAGTGACAGCTGCAGAGCGGGCCGCCACCCCCCCAAACAAGCTCCAGCCTCTCATCTAGGGAAACTGCTAAATCAACACCACGCAGTTGCAGGGAGGAAGAGCTGGCCGCAGTCTGCCAGCAGGGCTCTCAAAAAAGGGTTGGAAGGGGCTCCGGGTCCCGGTTCCCGGGTCCCGGGTCCCAGTGCCAGTTGGAACCCGGGGTACGGAAGTCTTCGGGGAGGAGATCAGGTCAAGCTTAGGGCAAATGATCCCAACTGCAGGGACCGACACCCCCACCCCCGCGAGCCAGGGCAGCTGAGGTGGCGCCGGGCGTTCAAATCGCGCTCCAAACAAGTCCGCAGCGACCGCGCTCGCAGCCCCCGCCAGGCGGCCCCAGCGGAAAACTTGAAAGGGACTCTGTTTGCCCGCGGCCCCGGGGCGGCTCCGGCGGGGGCGAGGGCAGAGCGATCACCCACGCCCCCCTTCGCAGCGCTTCCTGAGCGAACGCGGGGATGGGGGCGGCTGGGCCCACTACAAAACCCGGGGCTCCGAACGGCGCCCGAGGGGCGAGGAAAGGCGGGGATAGAGAGGTGGCCCGCCACCCCCGCCCCGTCCAGCACCCCCAACCCGAGAACCCGGCTCCCAGACCACCCAGGGTTCAAGGGGTAAAAGTAGGGCGCGGCTGCCAAGCCTTCAGACCTCGTCGCAAGAGACTCCAAGGAGCAGGTCTTTCCGGATGAGTCACTACAGAACCCCCCAAATCTACCAGTGCCTCTGTGCAGCCCGTGGCACCAGCCCAACTCTGCGCACCCCTTCCGATTCCCGGGGGAGAAAAGGGAAGGGGGGTTGCTCTCTCATTGGGCGCTTCCTCTCTACTGACAGACGTCGGAATGGCCCCCCCATTTAAAAACTGGGGTCACTCACTTTCTGTCGACCCTACAAATAAACAAAGCCAGGCGCACCCCGCGCGCCCCGCCGGAAAAACAGCCCATTCTGGGCTAGGACAACTTCCCCCAGTCAGAAAATTAACACATTCCTCCCGCGGCGGCTCAGCTCCTCGTCCCGGGGAAGCGAAGGGGCGGGGGCCGGGCCGAACTTCAGGGGTAAATTCGGGGCCCGAGCTGCGGGGCAGGAGCCTGGAACGCCAGCCCCCACCCCACCGCCGCAGCCAGGGGAACACCCCTATTCTCCCTCCCTGGCTTTGCAAGCCGCTCGGCCCACGCAGGGCTCGGGAGGCAGCCCCGAAGACTCCCCGAGGCTGGGGAGGAAGGGAGTGAGGCCGCGGGCGCGGTGGAGGTGGAGGTGGGGGAGATACTTGGACGGAAAAAAAGGTCAAACTTGATCAGCCCGCCAGGCACCCCGCGGGCACCGGGGGCGAGGAGCCGGAGGGGAAATGCAGAAGTGGCCGCCGCCTCCCCTGAGTGGAGGAGGCGGCTCGGCTACGCATGGTCGAGGGCGCTCTGAGCAGCTGTTGTCGCCCCCAAACCCAGGGTAGAGTGGAGCCTGAGGCGGGGAGCGCGCACCAGCGATCTCCAAGCAGCCGCCCCCGCGGTCGGACGCCCGCAGACAGTGAGGTGAGGACCCCGGCGCCCGCCGCCCCAGCGCCCGCGAGCCAAGCCTTCGGGACGGGGACGCCACCCTGAAGGGAGAGCCCCAGCCCGACTCCACGGCGCCCAACCCGCCGTCCCAGACCCTAAAACCCCTCTTTTTGTCTGAACTCAGTGATCTGCGACCGAGCACACTGCGGCTTGGGGAGGCTTGGGTGTAACAGCGGCCACCGAACGATCACGGCGCTAGGTCTCCCAGCCTCTGGGGCTCCGCGGCTCAGGCTGCGGGCGCCCCCCGCCCCTCCCAAACACAGACCCCCTCCCTCCCGGTTCCCGGCTCTCCGCACCTGAACTTCGGGGGAGCCCGCGCCGCCAAACTTTCCGCCGACTTGCAGCGAACTCCGGCCCCGGCCGCGCACCGAGCCCCGGGGGAGGAGAGGGAGGGAGGCGGGGAAGGGGAGGGGGCCGGCCTCCGGGGGGGTCGGGGGAGGGCCG